TTTTGGCCTCTTAATTTGCTCCTCATGGTTTTCATCATGTTTTGGTCAGTTCTTAAATCTCTTTACTTTCCAAAATGTCTTTCTTACTGAAGATCTATCTACTTTTTGAATGCTTAGTTTAGGGGACATTTATGCTTTCTCCTCCTCAAAATGAATCCATCCCATGTTGGTGATGTTGATATATTTAGCTACTCATACTGTTTAAGTAAAAAATAAAAAATAAAGAAACCCAAAGATATTAAATTTTTACAAATTTTACCAAAATCAAAATCAAACTTGCACAAACTACTAGAGAAAGAATAATCTACCAGATTTACCATAAATATAGAAAATACATATAAAAGAAAAGATAAATTGTGGGAAAACAAAAAGAAGCTTTGCCTTGCAAGATATATAAGAGAGAATTAAGTAAAACAAATTAACTCCCAATCCCTCTATGATGTAAACTGATTAAATTTTTTTACTTTAGTAGATAAACCCATAATTATGCAATCTTTAGTGTACCACAAAATCCAATTATTAGTGTTATTTTTTTGTTAAATGTACATTTCCTAAATCAACTGTAAAAATTATACATATATCTTTATTAGTTGAAGCCGACTTAAATCCCAACTTATTACAATCTAAGCATTTATACACTCTAATATAAAAAGAGTCTCGTGAGGTTTCTTAAAAATACATGTGCTTATATATATATATATATATATATATAAATATATTATTGATGTGTCTTTTTAGAGAGAGGAGAAGGATTGTAAAAAATTTTTTTGTTTCTTCCACCTATTTGTTTTTGTTCTTACAAGTATCTTTTGTATTCATTTTTCTTTGACAATTGTTTCTGACTTAAAGAGATATGTTGTTTAAACTTTAATTTGGGAGGTTTTTGATATGGGTTTTCATTGTTGTGTCAAAAATTTTAAAAGAGAGTGGTCTGTTAATTTTTTTTATTTCTTTTTAAATTTTTATTGATTTTTCTGCTATAATTTATCTTTCTTTTTTGGTTGTTTAATTGAGCCTATATATTTTTTTTGGGGTTTTCTTTAGGAGCATGTTCTGATTTTTTTATGAAAAATAGATTGTTTAATATTTCAAATCCTCATTCGGTATTTTTTGCTTAAATCTATTGTTCTTTTTTCTTCTTTAATTGAATGTGTTTATTTTGTGTTTTGTTGATTTGGTTTTTTTGTTGTATATTCTTATATTGAATTGGATTTAGGTTTTGTGATTTTTAACATAAAGGATATGTTACTATTCATCATCTGTTATTAAAGGAATTACACAGATTTATTTTATGGAGTTCTTACTGTCTATTGTCTGCTATTGAAGTTTTCTTTTAGATACAAATTTGGTTTGAGAAATTTTTATTTGCAAAATTTTTATTGCCAATGCTTTGCAATTAAAGTTTTCCTGATAATTTTTTGTTTTTTTTAGTATCTTTTTGTTTTACATTTTGTTTGTATAATAAGTTGTCAAGTTTTTTTTATTCATTTTTTCCCTCTCTTTCTTTGTCTTAAGGTTTTGTTAAATTTTGTGGATATTAAATTTAAAGGCTAGTGTTGTTGTTTTTTTTTTTTTTTTTAAGCTATATCTCCATTGATCAACATATACAAAATAGGTTTGAAAATAGATTTCTAGACATTCAAGTATAGAGCTTCTACATATTTTTCATGCACTGATATAATCCTGTAATAATAAAGTATTGATTATAATCAAAGTTAATGTCTATTATGATCATGAAATTCACATTTTAGTATAGATATTCTTCCAATGACCTTAGGTTTCACATTCATTTTTAGGGAAAAAAAATTGATAACACAAATTAAAGTATATTAGTTAGTTATTTTACGTATTATATTTAAACATTGTTGACAATATTTAATTTCATTAGTTGTTTTGTTTAAGCTTGAAAGTTGTTTATTTAAATATATGGTTGTATGTATATCCATTTTACATTTTCTTTTATAGATTCAGTATGAGATTTTGCTATTTTTATAGTTAAAAGTTAAAAGGTTTTTCGATTTTGATTTAGGTAAAGTATTTAACTTTATATCTATCCAAATTTCGTTATCTCATTTACTGTGGTGTGTTTTCCTTTTTTATTTCTTTCGTTTGTGGTAAGTTTAACAATATATGTTTTTTTTTCCCTCATCAGTAACTGTTAAATTGTGTTGTTGATTGATTACTCACTTTATTTGTTTGTGTCTAGGTTATGGTTGTTAGTAAAGCTTGCTATTTAGGTTCTTTACATGCATGATAATTGTTAAGTATGGATTTTGCTTCTCAACTTGCTTGCTTTTCTCTTATTCTACTTTTTCCTTTTCTTTTTTTTTTTTTAGTATTTATTTGTTTCATTTGTGCCTTATGTTGTTTTATTTGTGTTATTTGATTACAAATATAGTATAACATTATATTTTGCTATTTTTTTAATGTCTTTCTTTTTTTGGTTTGGGATTTTATTAGTTAATTATGTTGTATACATATATTTGTTCTTAATTGTTTGTAGAAAATTGTTGTCTTTACTTATAGATTTTGTTATTACGACTAGAAACGTTTATAATTATAAGATTATATTAGCGTATAAAGAATGTGTAAAAGACGTGTATTTGGATGTTTCTATTTTTAATAACTAATTATTTAAAGTATTAGTTTATCATAATATAAAATAAAAGAGGTATCTTTTAGCTAGAAGAGTTTCTTCATAACATGAAAACGTATTTTTTGATATTTTGTTACTAGACCATGTATTTTGGCTTTGGTTTGAGCATTAGTGGACTGTTATTATTTGACAAATCTATTAGAATATGATAGTTTATAAAATGTTCACGCTTTTGTATACAAAATAGATTTTAATGTTTTAGTACAGATATTGTTCTGATGCCTTCAAATTTTGCATTCATTCTTAGGGATGTAAATTGACAACAACAATTACTTGTAATTAACGACGTCAATAATAAAATTTGTTTAATTACAAATTCAAAATGAGATAAAAGAAGATCATGAAGTGTAAAATATTAATTAACATAAAATTTAAGATCTAATAAAAAGACATATGCTAGCATAGGTAATTCTTAGTTGGACAGAAACATATTATGTCAAATAACATGTGAATTTGTGATTAAGGTATTATAAGAGATTTTGTTCACCATAATGTAAGATGTTCGGATGTTAGTTTCACTCATTGTTCATTGGAAAAGTGGCAGATCAATTTCTGAGTCAGAATTTGAGCTTGTATCTTCAATTTTGATGACTTGAAGAGGTTGCTAATGTTATTTTCTTTTTTTTTTAACTATAGGAAAAAATAATATGTATTTAATTTTTTATTTCAGATATATTTTATATTAAGAAATAAAGTATTACCTTTCCTAATATGAACATCATCAATTATCATCAAAGTAGCACTTTTATCATAGAAGTAAACATTGAATGTAAGATCATATTTTATCCTGAACATAAGAAAATCTCCAAATTCAGCATTGTGACTATTGAGAAATTGTCGCCGGCTATTGCGAAAGTAGATGTTGTTGTTGTTGATTTGAATCATTTTCACTTTAAAGGGAGCTAGGATTAAACTTGTAAGATAGGTTGTTCTGGGCAATTCAACGTCTTTTATGAAATGACTGACAATTTTTGGTGGTAGACACTGAAACTTTGAATTCAATTGATGATGTTAGTAATAAAAAAAAATATCTCATTAAACAAAATATACAAAAATATTATAATTTTGGTAAATTAAATATAAAGAGAACATAACTTCAAATATAAAAAAAGAATAATTTCAATGTTAATTTCAATTGTAAAAGTAGTTGTTGTCATGAAGTTCAATATTAAAATACTTGAAGTTGATTAGTCTAGTTGTGATTTAATAAGAGAAAATAGGAAAGATTAGAATTATTGAACTGTAGCGTGATATGTAAATTTTAAGTAAAATGTTTTTTTTTTTGTTTAATAAAACATTAAAAATTCATAATAGAAAATTGAATTACTTAATAAAAAAAAAAAGATATATGACAAATGATATTCCAAAAACAAATGTTTTTTACAATAGCAAGTTATTTTCATCAATTAAAACTAAAAGCTCTCAGCTTTTAAAGAAAAAAGAATGATAAATGTAAAGACTTTTAAATATCTTTTTGTTTTTTCTAAGTGATACTTTTATTATTCAAAACAAATGAGAATGCAGTAATTCTTATATTTTGGTGTACACAATTTTCATCATCAATTGTACAATGTAACTTAAATAGGTTGTATTTACGAGCTCTTAATATTACTCTGTTTAAATTATTTTTTATAAATATAAATAACAAAAAAAAATAAAAATGTAACCTGACAACAACCGTACGACTATAATGAATATCAATTAGTTAAGTTAACCAAAGATAAATAAAAACAAAAAGGACAAAGAATAGAGAAGAATTGTCGGACATTTAAACAATCAGATGAGAGAAGATTTGTTGAAATCTAGATATTTGTCTATTGATGATAAAATTTTTTATAATGTAAAAGGTTAAAAGAGTTAGAATATAAAACTAAATCAAATTCATACAAGCAAAAGAGTCATCATATTTTTTTATTGGTGGAGTAAAAAACAAAAAAAATAATTAACGAAAAATATGTAAAATAATTAAAATATATATTTAATTAAATTAAGAAAAGAACAATTATGCATAAGATGATTAGAATAGGAAAATATTTTGAAACTTTTGTGTTTGAAATTTATTTTGAGAAAAAAAATCTTTTTTAGAGTTTAGAGATAAAAATTTTGTAAAAGAAAAAAAAATCAGATTAAAGAGCAATATTTACAAATAGATACTCAAAATTTTGTTTTGTTTAAAATCCTAAATTTGTTGGAAAATATATGTAAACTTTAATTTCTTAAATGTTTCATGTTTATTAAGATTTTTAATTTACAAAGCAAACAAGCGAACGGATCCAGCCTAAACATATTTGTAAATTAAACCTCTTAAAAAAAAAAAAAAGTATGTAAAAGGGCCTGAACATTTTACTTGGACAAGGCTTAACCCAAATTATATAGCTTGGCTGGGTTCGACCCACCCAAAACCGGGTTACTCTCCCTGACTCACACTCACAGCCTTGTTGTTGGCACTTCTCCAGCAATAACCTAATATCCCCCTTCGCGATTCCAATCCTTGTCTATGCTGCTGTGCCTCCTAAATCCAAACACCAACTATGAATCGGTCCAAGGCAATCGTCGCCTCTCTCAGATTAGCAAACTCGCTTCTCTCCGCCCGGGTCAACTCAACTGCTTCCTTCTACTCTCAGGTGAGTCTCTTCTCCCGCCTCTCTTCACGTCTCTCATTTCAACTACACCCTTCTCATTTACCAAACACCCATCAAAGGCTTTACTTCTCTACAAAAACCAACTCATTGCTCCAACTCATACTGAACAACGACTGGTCTGATGAGTTAGAGACCGAGTTAGACAAGTTTAACTCAGCATTGACTCATGAAACTGTCGTCTACCTTCTTAAGAAACTCGATAAAGACCCAAAAAAGGCATCGAATTTCTTCAATTGGGCACGTGATGAAAATGGGTTTAATCCCAATTCTTCTGTTTATAGCTTTATGCTTAGAATTTTGGCTAATAAAGATACAATGAAGGAGTTTTGGATAACTTTAAGGGAAATGAAGGACCAAGGTTTTTATCTTGACGAGGAAACTTATTATACAATCCATTCATGTTTTAAAAAGAATAAGATGGGTAATGATGTTGTGGCTTTAACCCATTTTTATAAAAGAATGCTTGAAGAGAATGCTAAGGATAGCGTTGCACAAAAGGTAGCCGATGTTTTTTTGGGGCCTGAATGGAGGAGTGATGAGACTGAGAAAGAATTGGATGGTATGAAAATCGTTTTATCTGATAATTTTGTGATAAGGGTGTTGAAGGAACTTCGAAGTGACCCTCCGAAAGGCTTAAAGTTTTTCCGTTGGGCAGGTAAGTGTTCAAATTATAAGCATAATACGGTTACTTATAATGCTCTTTTGAGAGTTATTGCAAGGCATGATTCTATTGCATTGTTTTGGAGTGTTGTTGAGGAGATGAATGGCGAAGGATTCGAGATGGATATTGATACTTATACAAAAGTTTCAAGGAATTTTCAGAAGTTCAAGATGTTGGAGGATGCAGTTAAACTTTATGAAATCATGATGAATGGTCCATATAAGCCTTCAGCTCAACATTGCGGCTTACTCTTACGGAGCATTTCTGGTGCTGATACACAAGGTTTAAATTTGGTATTTAGAGTTGTGAACAAATACGAGGCTGCTGGACATACACTTTCTAAGGCTATTTATGACGGGATTCATCGCTCTTTAACCAGGGTGGGTAAATTCGATGAAGCAGCGAATATTATGAAGGCTATGAAAAATGCTGGGTGTGATCCTGATAATATCACGTACAGCCAACTGGTCTTTGGACTTTGTAGAGCAAGAAGACTCGAAGAAGCCTGCAAAGTTTTGGATGAAATGGAAGCACATGGATGTATTCCAGATATCAAGACATGGACTATTTTGATTCAAGGTCATTGTGATGCTAATCAAATTGATAATGCATTGATGTGTTTTGCAAAGATGCAGAAAAACTGTGACGCTGATGCTGACTTGTTGGATGTCTTAATTAATGGTTTTGTTAGTCAGAATAGAATAGATGGTGCATACAAATTGCTCGTGGAGATGGCAAATATAGTTCATTTAAGACCTTGGCAAGCAACATTTAAGATTCTCATCAAGAAGCTTCTGGGGAAAGGAAAACTTGAAGAATCAATGAACCTTCTTAAGTTGATGAAGAAACAAAACTACCCACCTTACCCCGAGCCTTTCATTCAATATATTTCAAAGTTTGGGACTGTCGATGACTCTATGGAATTCTTGAAAGCATTGAGTGTGAAGGAATATCCGACCGTTGGAGCTTACCTTCATGTTCTTGAATCATTTTTGGAGGAAGGGAGACATTCTGAGGCCCAAGATCTACTATATAAGTGCCCTCATCATATTCGTAACCATCCTAAAATCTCTGAACTATTTGGTACCAAATCTACTGCTTGATTATTGTTTTGTTTTGTTTTGATTTTTCTCTAAATACTGAGAAACAGCTCAAACTAGAATCTTACTTGTAGACAGATGGAATGGGCAATTCCATCTTACTAGGAATTTTTTGGGGGGCATTATCTATCTGAAGTAAAATTGTCATGAATCTTATTTGGGGAACTTCAGCTGACAAGTTGTAAGGTTTTGCAGTGTTCATCTTAACTATTGTTGTGGCTGGTTAAATTTGGCTGAGCAGTTCCTTCCAGTGGCTCTATAAAGAGTACGTGCAGTTATTTTAGTTGGTTAAGGATCGCTGGGACAAAATTGTGGTTTTAACATTGTCTTAAAACAGATTTATGAGTCGAAAGGAATACTAAATAATTTTAAAGTGGTAGTAACAAACAAAATTACCATACACCCATGACCCACCCAATAAAATAGACCCACCAATCTCTACCATCTATCCATATCCACATGCCCCTGCTTTAGTCTGCAGCTGATATTTCCTTGAAAAATAAAAAACAAATCCTTTTTCAATTGTAGTACTACTACTATTTAATTCAAGTTATAAGAAACGTAAAAAAGGATATAGATACGAAGGGCTTATGTCTCCTCATGGGCACAGCAACATTAACAATGTAAGGTTCTAATTTACCCGAAGATAAACAGTACTATGGACTATGGCCCCTACGACAACGACCATGAAGAAAATGCTAGAGCTTGAAGATGATCACAGCAAGGACCTTTGAAATTATCAAAGCCGTGGCACAAGCCTGGCACTGTCAGTCCGGCAGCTTTAGGGTAACCAACGAATTCGATGCCTATGGCCGAAATTTCAAAGGTAAGCCTTCCAGGTTCAAGCATGAAGCTGAGCAAGCCATCTGTCAAGGTCAGGAACACTATTGCTACCCCAAATTGGGACTTCGGGCAGTCACTGTGGGATTCATGTGAGATTCTCACCGTGGCCAAAAAGCTTGAGGCTGGCCTGGTCTTGGATGGCCCTTTTACAGGGTTGGAAGAAGATACAAGTACAGCTCACAAGAGGCGCAAAGAGAGTAGGAATAGCCTTAGAAATTTGTTCAAACCGATGTTTTCAAGGAGATTCAATGAAGCTGATATTCCTCGTGAAGATAAGAATGGTTTTTGATCGTTTTTTTTTTTTCTTTGCGTGAACTCTGAATTGGATTTGTCAGCTCAACACAACATTTTTCCTCCTGCAATTGTAAACAAAGAGATAGTGGCTCTTTTGGTAATGTGATATCATATGACCAAAACCTGTTTTGACATATTTCATTTTAATATCTGTGCATTTGGGTGTTATGCTGAAACATGTTCTCCGCAAAGCTAGCTGTTACTGGTCGATGCAAGAATTTTGTCAGAAGTATAAAGCTTGCCAATCATCTATAATCTCAATCGATATTGTTAAGCTAACACATTTTTGATGATTTTATTTGCATAAGTCCCGTTTTTTATGTCTTCCTTACATAAAATTTCTTCATTTTGATGTTTTTACTTTACTCCAATTATTAAATCCTTCAGCTTCTTGGCTTCTTTTGCTCTATGGAGTACTGCTTATAGCGACGTATCGATGACATAGCCTTCTTGTTTTCTTTGCAAATTTTCTGATGATCATGAGTAGGAATAACGACCCCAACAAGTGGAAAGCTTTAAAAGTAGGACTCTTGCAAGTTGAATGGATATTGAGTAAGGATATAGAATAAGTCTAATTTACATAAAAATGGCACTGTGTCCCTACTTTGGGATATGCTATGCTACAATCTTAAGGCACTTTACATCTTTACCATAAAATTGTTGCAGGAATGCTAATTAGCTATTTGGACTGAAAGTTAAACGCCATCATGGTCCATAACCATAGACTTCATACACTGAAAAATATTCAGTAATATTTTGGCGAAATGCCTGCTTTTATTCAACATTTAAAGATTGACAATACGCATATTTTAATATAGTTGATATGAACTTCTATTCTGTACCTGACTTGATTTCTAGGTTCGGCTCTGCAATCCTAAGTGAAAAAAGAAATCAAAATATATGAAGAACTAACTGATACATCAAGTAACTTGGTGTCTGGAACCACCTAACTTGTAGGCCTATATGGCTATATCAGAAAAAGGTTTCAGGTGATATTTCCAGTGTTGCTACACAAAGCAAAGGAGCACAACTTGAAGGGGTCCAAGGGGATATCAACTACCAAAATTTTGGACCCTAGCCCCTAGGCCTCCATTCACCTTAAGAATATTACTTCAATTGGGTCAATTTAAGTGTTTGATTACTTCAACTGGCACGAGTGCTAGGACTGAGCAATGTGGCAGCTTTGATAAGGCAACTCGATCTTATATCAACTTGATTAGATCTGTGTTACTGGTTCCGCTGAATTACTCCAAGGTAATTTATAGTATACTAAGGTTCATAATTTTCACTAACAACAAAATATATTAGGGCATACCCAAGAGCAATTAATCTGCAACCTAGCAACCACCTTTAAGAGCTTAGTTAAAGAGAAAAGGGGAACAGACAGGTTTTGGTAGCACTCCAATCCAAAGAAAGGCCATTTATTTACGTGTGTCAGCAACGCTATATATTTAGGTTATATGGCCTGTCATATAATCATGATTGACATGCTCCCAAAGTCTAGGGCACTTTGAAGGTGTTCCATTTGCACATTTCAAACCCCTTGTGCTTCTGCTGGATATAGCCATCAGCTTGGACATCGACAGTAGTTTCTTTATCATTAACCTTGCACTTCTCATCCCTTGTTTCTTCAATGGTTTCTACCTGCTCAACCACCTGAACCTTCTTTTGAGACTTTGGGGATGCGGAGTGCTGCTTGCGGTGATGTTCTTCCTGAAACTCAGCCTCTTTCTCATAGGTGTACTTGTTGTTGAAGACCCTGTGGACATTGGGGTATCGAAGTGCATCAGGGATGGTGTTGGGCATGGAAAGATAAGCATGGTAGTCCTGGGACGTGGTGTCCCATCCAGAATTCTGTCTGGGAGTTTGACCGTAGCTCATTGTTATATCTACTCTCTTCGCTTCACAGCTATAGTAAGCCTGTAATCGAAGGTGCATATTTTATAGACAGAATTTTCCTTTATTCGTGAGTGATAGATTGCATCTGGTTCTTTTTATTATTTTGTCATAACGAACTATATATATATATATATATATATATTCAGGTTCGATTCAATTCAACCACATATAGAGATTGAGGAATAAAATATTGATAAAAAAAGAGCCAACGCCGGAAAGATTCCACTAGAGCTTGATACCGCCTGCTGCATAATTAATGATCTCGGAATAAGAATTTCTTTATGATAGTGAACTTCATAACTTTTTTTGAGGGCTGGATTAAGAAATAAACTTATCAGAGCACAAAAGATACCCTGAAAAGCAGATCCTCTCGAATTTTGCCTTTAAAGATTAGAAATCTATAGTGGGAATCAATATCATTGCGCATCAACCCTCTAATAAAACAGTTGCAGAATCTTTAGCATAAAAAAAAAATTAACCTGCACGCCTGTGTTCTTGGAACTATTTCACTGAAAAATTCTGCATTAAGTTAGCATATTATCAGATTGGAACCCCCCTGCATAGTTGGATCATATTCCTCTTCAACATTTAGGCAATTGAAATATGATGGAAAGGATCAAGTCATCTGGCTAGCTACATGCCAATTAAGCGCAGCATATGCAGAGAAGGAGATAAGGAAGTTGCAATCCCACATCATAGCAAAATACTTGTCATAGCCTTTGGCCTTGTCAAAACCTTACTCGCAAATTGCAATGACAGTTATTTTGCATTTCAAAGAATATGAGACTGGTAAACGCACTGCCGTAATGCAAGGGTATATAATGAAGAAACTGTTGTTAGGAATTGGAATTGTTATTATGGTTTACATCATTTCAAAAAATGGCTCATGTTCGCTCCACAATGGATAACCCCTTCATCTGGTTCTACACTTACGATGATGGCAAAGAAACCTATAACATCTAATTCTTATCTATATATTTAACGAAGTAGAGAATAGGAAGAATAAGGTGTCCATGTGGCACCCCTTCCTTTCTCCCTTCTCTTTTTTTTTTAACAAAAAAATTCAAATTTGATAAAATTTAATAAGAAAATCAATAACATAAAAAAATTTGATGAAAATATATCATTTAGAAATTCAGATTAGATTAATACTTATTGAATAGTAAAAATTATACAATCAAAAATTTAAAACAGTGATTATCTAAAAAATATGTCAAATTTTATTTACCTGATCTATATAATAAAAAATTTTAATCTATCAATTTTAATTTTTGAATCTAATTTTCATTTAATGATTTTTAATAAAAAATTTCATATATCTCACCAAATTCATCAAAGTCTATTTCCTTTCTTTACACCTTGACTGGCGCAGCAAAAGAGGGACAGGAATGGGCTCTGAGTTGCTGGTTTCTTCTTTAATTGATTAACACGTCATTTTAGAAATCATAAACAATTTCTTCCCTCTTACAAGGAACCGGAGTTGAAATTCCTATCTTATCATTAAACAAAGCAATGTGCCCCAACTGACTCATTCCCAAGTTTTTGTCAATGGTGATAAAAGCCAATCACTCCAAACTATGGAGTATGGACCATGAGCACTCTAAGGGAATGATAACAATATCAAAAAATTAAAAAGCCAATTACTCCAAACTATGAACTGTGGGCAGTCAGTCCGAGAAAAATGATAACAATATCAAATAGATACTACACTAGCTTTCACCAAATGAATTGGACTTTCACTTTAAAATGTAATTTATTAATCTAAAAAATATATATTGTTAATGTTATCAGAGTGTACTTGTCAGCCAAGCCCTATTGTTTCAGAGCTCTCTTTGGCTTCTTTTGATTCCCACATTGAAAAAGGTTGATTGCCATTTCTTCCGTTGCTAAGAAATTAAAAGCACTGATCAAAGCAGAAGAAGCAACTTCTCCGCTTTTTTTCCATATTTGGTTTGTGGGTTTCCCCAGAGCCATCAAGCACTCCCATCAGGGAGCTTGTACCTGGAGATTCCGGTGGCAATATGGTGTTCTCTGAAGCAAAAATTCGAGGAGGAATAACTGGTTCAGCTGGACAAATACTAGAAAGATAATTTAGGAGCATCTGGATTATTTGACTGAAATTAGGACGAGCATTTGGTTCTTCCTCCCAACATGATGTTAGAATGTTGGCCAATTCCTTCGGCAGGTTTTCAGCACTAGGCCTCACATTCTGTACAGAAAAACATCCCAAAACATCAGCCACATTTTACAATACTAGAAAAGCTTTAGATCACAGCTACTTTAATCAATCAGTACAATAAGTTGGAAATATTAAACCAGATTATTACCTTGAAAGCAGCCGCATATGCTGCCTGGAGATTTGACATGCCTTCAAATGGCATTTTGTTGTGCAAGAGTTCCCACAGCACTATTGCAAAGCTGTAGGCATCCACTTTATGGTTGTAATGCTTCTTTTCTCCCCGCCTTAATGTGACAGTACTGTACAACTGCCATAATTTAGCCACACAACCAAGATTAATCAGTGGTTTGGTCAGAAAGGATTGAGGAACAAACTAAGAGTGAAACGGCAAGTACCTCTGGAGCCATCCAGCGGTATGTTCCTGTTTCAGCAGTCATCATCTCTGTTAATGACTCCTCTCGTGCTAAGCCCAAATCCGCTAGTTTAACTGTTTTATGGTCTGCTGTCAAAAGCAAGTTTTCTGCAGATAGAATATCCAGATACGGTGAAAATTCAAGCTAATATGTAACTATGTATGTTTATATGTCAAATTCATGCCCTCGCAGTGCTATGTTGAATCATTTGTATTGCACACACCAATCAAGATCTCTATTCCCCCCCCCCCCCCCTCTTTTCTGTTTGAGGGGTCAGTAAAAGGTGGATGAGCATAACTTATAGTTAAGCAGGATTAATGCAAGTTGCTACAAATAAAAGAATTCACACAGCTGGTTGTCTCTTAAATCAAATGTTATTATTTTAATTGTAGCCATTGCAAAGCAATAATAAGGAAGACACATATAGCCAGACAAGAAAACCAGAGGCCTTAGTTTTGCAACCTAAACCAATCAATAGTCCAGCTTAATAGCCTAAAAAATAATGATTGAAACCTATTCTAATTAGTAATTATCTTTGACAGAATGAGCGAACACAAGATTAGCAAAAGACTTGATTTGGTAAAATTGGAAGCAAGTCCATAGCATTTTCTTCAATTCTATTGGGTGCAATTGATTTTTATGAATAATATATAGGGGTTTTCAAAGGTGTCCCCTGTCACCAAACAACTGCATCAGAATTATATGCAATAGAAAACTCAGAAGTCCATATGCCCTCCAAACCATCTTGTCATTCTGAATCCTGAACTGCAGTTTAATATTTTCCTCGCATCTTCTTAGTCTTCCTTCCCCCTTTTTCACATGGGTATCCATCATTAAATCACACATCTAACATATCAACACAAACATGTAGCAGTAATTACATAACCTTGCATCCCTTCATAGTTCTTAGAGATGAAGGATTTCAATAAAGTCACCACCAATCAAGAAACTAATTCAATTAATTGATGTTCCCTCCTACTCAAAATGGTGCATGTATCCATATTGCAAAATGCAAACCTTATACATGTAATCAATTTTCAAAACTCAAAAACGAGAATGTGAAATGAGAGGATTACCAGGTTTCAGATCACGGTGTATGATCCCATGAGCATGCAAGCGTTCCATAGCATGGGCAATATCAAGTGCAAAACCAATAGCAGCACACATATCTAAACACCTTGGCCGCATGTTCAGCAAATACTTCCGTAGAGTCCCCCCCAACAAAAGCTCAGTAACTATCACCATTACAGGCTCCTTGCAGGCACCAATAAACTGTTGAACACAAGGGTTCAACATTAACAGTTAGAATTGGACAAAACTATTAATAATTGAAAGTAGTCAAGTATTATGATGTAATGATCTGAAAAGTGACTATACAAAGAGGACTGAATGCAATCCAACCTTCACTAGGTTTTTATGCTGAACTCTAGACAACATTGCAACCTCCCTTACAAACCGTCCTTCCCTCTTGGTTATCTCCTCAGGAGTTTCTCCCTTATGAAGCATTTTAATTGCAACATTCTGGTTCTTATACCTGCAAGGTATCCCATAAAACCCAAAAGGGTGAAACAGAAAGAAAGTTGAGTGAGATATGGCGACATTGCTGCAAACAGAATTGAAAATCTAATTACATATAAAACAGACTCAAATCAGGTTTAGGATCTCAAGCCAGCTTCAACAGTCACAACCAAATATAAGTCAATGAAATTCTAACGATTTACAGGAAGAATTAGGTGTCCCAATCTTCTGTTTGAGAAGCAAATTAAAGTTTCAGACAAAATGAGGAAAGAATATAACACAATTCAGACAAGAATGCGTAGAATAACAGCTAAACTAGAAACCCACAAATAAATCAGAAAGATTAATAATTCCCAATTGGTGAATTTAGAACAAAGAAAGGAAAAATAAAGATGTACCCAAAAAAAGAACAAAATAATGATGAGGTAACTGAATTTGCCAAAGGGAAAGTAAAAAGTTCAGCGAGAAAGTTGCAATCAGAGTGAAGGCCTTGCCCAGAAATATATAAACCAAGTAATCAAAGAAGAAAAAAAAGGATTTTCCAAACTTACTTTCCCTCGTATACTTTGGCATGAGCTCCTTCTCCAATTCTTGGACCAACAAAGAGATGCTTTGGATCAATCAACCATTTAGCATCCAATTTGAACTCATCAGCAGAGTAAAACATACTCCCAGGTTCCATAATTCTAAAATAGGAAAGAGCTCAAACATCTATATCCAGCATGTAATCTTCATAAAGTTTTGCCCTTTTAGTAAAAAGTAAAAAAAGAAAAAAGAAAAACCATACATCACAAACTCGAAAAAAGGACAGCTTTTTCAATGCCAATTCACCACAGACAGAGTAAATGGATAAGCTAGACAATATGAAACAGAGAAAGAAGAAGCTACACAAGACATGCTCTGATCTTGGTGTATTTTTCTTGTATTGTGTAATTGATAAAACCACTCCTCAACAATCAAACTTTCACAAGTTTAATGGGTTAGATGTCCAAAAGGAGGCAAAAGAAATGAACCCCACGTGTAGTGTACTGTAGCAAAAGAGAGGGAAATAGATAGAGAGAGATACCAAACAGGAAACAAAGCAAAGAAAGAAAGAAAGAAAGGTTGGAAGTCCAAAGAAGTCTCTTGAAATTTCATGGGGACAGGAGAAGGTGAAGAATATCAACTCTACTCGTCATCAAAGGCTCTCTCTCGCTCTCTCTCTCTAGTTTTGCATTAAAACTATAGATAAGAATCATTAGAGTTTTAAATATTAATAAAATAAATGGAGAGATGGGGAATTTGAGTTTATTTAAATCTTTTACGGAAACAGATTTTTAACAGTGTCGATCTAGAGACGGAATCATGGGAGAGGATTGAGTGCGTGCGTGTGTTCAACAAAGAAAACAGAGATAATTGTGAAATATATCTTGATAAAGGGTGGGGGATGAATTCCCTTGTCACCAAAAAAAAATAAAGGGGGTGGGAGCCATAAACTAATCAAAAGCACATGGAAACTGATCTTGTCAATTAAATAACAAAGGCCTCGACTCCACTGCCTATCTACTTGTATTTCACTCCACTACCCCCCCACCCCAAGAAAAAGGTGTAGCTTATCCGTAGGGATAGGGTCATATTGACTTTGTTGATGGTTAGCTCCTCTCTCCTATTCTTTACGTTAAAACAAATCTTCCTACTGACTAATTGCTAGCACTGTCAGCTTCTTCTAACTTTTTTTCTTTTTACTTTTCTCATCAACTTTTAACTGCTTAAAAAATTACATACTACTACATTATAATTATGAACTAAAAGGATATTATAAAAATTAAGTAAATTGGAGACTTTTATATTTGATTAAAAATAAATTAAAAAAACTTTAAAAAATTGTCAATTCAAATATATTATTGCATTTTATATATTTAAAAATAAAAATAACTAAAAGAGTGATTGTGAAACATAAAATTAATATATATAAATATTTTATATATATATATATATTATATGTTGGTAAATGAGCTTTGAAGATATTTTGCATATGATATAGATTATTTACACAAGATTAGAGCTTATGTAAATATAGGATCTTATTATCTTGTGGGGCAGCCTTCTGCTATCGTCCTAATATTAGTCTTTTCACTTTGGAGGGAAAGCAAGCAATAATTATAATGTCATCCAAATGGGTTGATTGGTTGTGTTAGTGTTACTGAGTCACACCATTTTTGGCGGACTGCAGCCGTACGTGGGAGTGGTCTACAAGCATTTCTGCGAACAAACTGGGAAATGGACAAGTGTATCAAAATCTCATTCGCAAAAATCTTTTATTACTAACTACTCTTAATTTTTGCTTTGCTTTGCTGAGGCAGAGAAGACCATCTGGGAGAGAGTTTTATGGTTCTAGCGTCACCCAGAGACGTGCTACCATGAACGAACAACACCCATATGTATAATGCGATATTTTTATATACAAAAAAAAATTCCACTACTTAAAACATACGATGAACATGTTTTGTAGGCAAAAATATATTATAAATGCAAAGAATCCAAAATTTAACACTACTATTTAGGGGTACCATATTATTTTTTACAAGCTAAAGTTGAGTACCTATTGGCTCACTAGATACTAAAGATGATAATGATGATGAGTTTATTTCATACTCAACGTGAGGTGGTTATATTTAAGAGCAATAAACCAAAAAAGATTACAACAATAATAATAGCAAGGTTATTCCCATATTTTCCTACAAAACTCACATTCGAGAATCATAACAATAACAAAATTTGTTAGCTTTTCAACACTAAAGATGGAATTGAAGCTTAAGGAAAAATAAGAAAAACTTCAATACTTGAAGTTGGCAGCAAACTGAAAGTGACAGTGGACTATGAAATCATCGCTGCTCATCAAGATAAGGGTCCCTAGGAGATCCTCCAGAAGCTCCAAGGTAACCTGAAACACTCCCACCAACAACTGAAACATAGTTCTTCAACCAAGAGGTACTGCGTGTCAACCACCCAGTCTGTGCCTGTTCATTTACTTCTAGCATGCACTTTCTTTCTTCCTCAACAAGTATGTCAAGCCACCTCTTAGCCATGAAAGCCTTGACAGCATCAACCCCTTGGTTTACTACTTCCAAAGGCGGAATGATAAGAGGATTTTGTTCCAAATTGAGTTTTGTCAGCTTGTCAAGCCGACCAAATGTATCAGGAAGAGCTTGAATTTGGTTGTTACTTAGATCAAGCTCTTTAAGGTTGGTCAATTCACCGAGCGTGTCTGGAAGTTCCCTCAAATCAGTGAAATTACTGCTCAGATTGAGAATTTCAAGATTTGTTAATCTCCCAATTTCATCGGGAAGGCCACAAAGTTCATTGAAATGAGCATCCAGAAAGTGCAATGAACTCATTTCACCAATAGAAGTGGGGAGGCATCGGATCTTGTTCAAATGAATTGAAAGCCTTTGCAGATTTCTTAATTCAGTCCCAAGATTAGTCGGCAAGTATGACAGTAAGTTGAAGCTCACATTCAACTCTATCAAAGACCTGAATTGATGAAAATCAAATTTCAGATAAGGTTAATGACCAAAAACAATGTTTGATTTTACGATAAACTAAAATTACCTGCAATGACAAATGGTGTCAGTTAAGGCATTCAGTTTATTTCCTGAGACATCCAAGATTTTCAAGTTCTGAAGCAACCCAATCGAGTCTGGTAGTGATTCCAGAAGATTCGAAGAAATATTAAGCTCCTCAAGTTTTTCCAACCCAGCAATTGAGTCAGGAATAACCTGTTTCCTCATACAAGTTAGTCGAATGCAAGAGAAATTTATAAAAGAGTCAAGACCGAGAAATTAATACCACTTGCCTATACAAGAACCAGTCAATTGCTTAACTAAACAGTTTTAACTACACCAACATGAAAGCAGAGACAGTCTTATGCATCGGTAAAGGAAATCTTTATCTGACAAAAAACATGCAACCTGGATTAGGTTACAAGTTTCATCTCTGATGCCTACAGACCTATTGTAAATCATAATAATGTAGGATTCTTTCATAAGAATATTGAATCCACGAGTCCAGTTGATCATTTACAAGTGGACATGAACTAAAGCATATACCATAAGATAACTATCAAGAGGTTAAGGGAGTTGGTATCACTGCTGCCAAGATGCAATCTATGTTACAGAATCAATATATGTATAATATAACAGGAAAACTAAAAAAGGGAAACTATTTCTCACACCATTCTAATTCAAAGTACTGATCACTAAATAAGTCCTTCGATGTTGAAGGATTCCAGATCCAGCAGTTCCAAGTAGCTTATCCTTTGTACTTTGTAAGTATTGCCATTTGCCCACATTTAACTAAGAAATGCCGAAAAGTCCAAATGGCATGTAAACTCTCCAATTCTAGTCCAAATATAAGGTTGCTACAACTCTTCATTTTCCTTGAAGCACCCATGTCTGAACCCTCCAAAATATAAGGAAAATCTTAGAAGAAAAGTTGAATGTATCCACGTGAGACACGTACCATCACCCAGGACTCACTCTGAATCTGAGGTAACAATAACATAGTTGATCATTTTAATGTGGTTCTGGCGCCTTCAGAAATAAACTAAAACCATAACAACTTCACTAAATACAGCAGGAGTTAACTTGTTATTGTCATTCCTTTAAGGTTTCAACTTTCTTTGCTTTAAATGAAAACAAATATTTCATCATTGCATATTTATTCGGATTCAATCTTCATCCACAGCCTTATCAAGTTCCAAATTCAACAATCACAGAAAGACAAAGAAATTCAATGTCATCTCCAAAAACAAGAAATGGAAGAAAAAAACAGACCTCGAGCTGATTATTGGAAAGATTAAGCAAAACCAAGCCGCTAATCTTCCCAAAGGCTTCGGGCAAAAACCTTAGCTTCCTTCCAGACAAATCCACTCTTTCCAATTCTCTCCCTTGCGCTTCCTCCAGTATCCCAACAACCTCCACATTAGCCTCCTCAACTTCCCCCGAATTTTCAGCCACTTTTCCCGCCTTCTCATAAATCTTAACCAGCATCTCCTCTGCCTCCTTCAGAAGCTTCCCGTAAGCCTCGTGCATTTCGTGCAATTGCAAAATCGATTTGTAAATAGATTTCTCTTTCTCAGCTTGCTGTCGAATCTGTTGCTCTTTGTCGGCCAAGTGGGCCCGCCACTCGAGTCTATCCAACTCGACAGGTCGAGGAGAGAGGACGAGTTCTTCTAGGGATTTGGAAAGGCTGGACTCGATCTCGGCGAGTTTGGAGCGGGCCATGTCGACGGACTCTAGGTCGGGTCGTGGGCCCAGGGTTTTGAGAACGGAGCGGGTGTGGGCGACGTCGGAGACTGCATGGGTCATTGAGGCGAGAACTTTGGGATGAGACATGTAGGGCATTTGGTCCACCATTTGGGGAGGGTTGGTGGAGGATGATGAGGCTGAGGGGTCGTGGATTGGCGGAGGTTGTTCGAGGTCGAATGGAGGATCAGAGTTGGGTGTGGAAGGGAGTTTGGAGGGTCCAAAGGATGAGAGGCGGGAGAAAACGTAGGAGAGTAGCGGGTAGCTTTTCGGGTTGGGATCCATGTTTAGGGCGGTGGTTCTGGAGAAAGGGAAAATAGGACTTCGTATTTTGGTAGCTTTTAGGAGTCGCACAGTTTGAATGATTTCCAAAGTTTTCGCTTTTCTTTTAGGCTAAAAAGGCTTTTAGAAGTTGCACAGTTTGAATTAAAAGCAGTTATTCCTTTTATTATTTATTTGCATTTTTAGTGAAAAATTAATTTTTTTATCTATTAAAATAAAATTTTATATAATATCAATTAAATAAAAAAATTTTACCACATAAGTCAATTTTATATAAAAAAATTAAATGAAATAAAAAAATCTTCTCTGTTTTTTCTTTCCTCTCTCTAAAATCTTTTAAGGATTTAATTAATTATAATTTGAAGATTAATTAATTAAATTTTATCTAATTAAAAATTCAGTTGAATCAAATACAAATTTAAGAATTTAAGTTATTATAATAAAATGTTAAATACTTAAATTATTATTAAATTATAATGCAAGAGTTTTTTTTTTACCTTGTAGCCTTTCTTCTGTTCGAGTTATCATGTTAACAGCACTCCGAGGCTGGAGGCTGGCTTGTTTGTTGGAGAGATTTTTTTTTTTTTTTCAAATTTTAAGAGTTATTATTATTATTATTATTATCATTATTATTATTATTATTATTTCACAATTCTCAATTAAATTAGAGTACAAAAATATATTTATCATAGTAATTCAATGTTTATTATATACATTTTATTTTTTAATGACACGGAGTGTGAATTTAAAAATTAAAAAAAAATTTAGGAAAAATAAAGGGAAAATAAAAAATTGTGCCACTGAAATTGAGCATTTTATTTCTTCATGGTATTGCTAAGATAAAAAAATAAAAATAAAAATTTGAAGTCACAAAATATAGAAGGCTTGTCAAAAATAAAAGTCATTTTGCTTTCGGAAAATCTAGAAAATAGAAGCACCGATTCTATGGTTTCAATGTTATGTTAGAAGGACTAATCCTTTTCCAGTTGGAAGAGAGAATATCTTTATTGGAGTCTGAGTAGGTGTTTCCCGGAAGAAAATGTTAACAAATCCTAGTCTCTTTATCAAAATTCAATTGCACTAGAAAAATGTTGCTAAGGGTAAAAAATTTTTTTTGATCCTCTCTATTCATTGCATTTTTTTTTATAAAATTTATTTAATTAAAAATAAAAAAAATAAAAAGATCAAAAAACAAACGAGAATAACATGTGAATATGTCAATTGATTTTTTTTTATAAAATTTATCCAATAAAAATAAAAAATTAAAAAAAAACTCATAAAGAATGGCGTATTGATACTCATATTTAGTTTAAAATATTAATTTTTTAAATTAACATAAAAACTTTATTAATACAATATACATGTATAAAATTAAATAAATAATAAAATATATATTTTTATATATATCTCAAAATAGATACAAATCACCTTAAATACACTTTCAATCCTAATTCATTTTTATTTAAAGAACTCAACCCATCTCAAGTCAATATTAATTTTAAAAAATTATATATTTATTGTATCCAAATAAATTGAAACTCGTTAGATATCGATTGTTTTGACATCATTATCAATTGACATATTTTATTATAAAATTTATTTAATTAAAAAGGACAAAAAAAATGCTAAAGAAAAAGAACCAAATTGGATGCCACATTAACATCTCCGTTATTTTTTTTTTTCATAAAATTTATTTAATAAAAAAGACAAAAACACAAAAAATAAAGAAAAAAATAAAAAAAATTCATTGAGATACTACGTGAACATTCCAATTGAGTAGAGATTTATCAAAAACAATTATTTTGTCATTCTTATTATTTGTTCCTTTTGTTATAAAATTTATTTAATTAAAAAAATAAAAAATGAAAAGAAAAAATAAACAAAATTAGGTGCCACGTGGATGCCTAGATTATTTTTTTACAAATTTATCTAAATAAAAAAATAAAAAATAACACGTTAAGACCTTAAATAAGAGTTAAACAAAAATAAAAACAAATCAAATTTATAAAATGAATGGATGATTATATTATAATTATAAATATAGTGTTTATTTAATTTAAAAAATAAAATGATATCTTTATTAATGTAATACATATATAAATAAAATTATATAAATAATTAAAAATATAATTTAATATATATAATTAAGACAATGCAAAACACCATTAATCCACCTCCAACTTGACATTGATTTTCGAAAAAAAAAAAATCTTGATTTCATTTTAAATAAAAAAATATATCAATCATATCCAAACAAACCTAAATTCAATATATACCGATTATTTTATTATCTATACCTCCATTAATATTTTTTTAAAAATTTTATTTATTAATATCTTTTGTTGTAAATTATACAGTAAAAAATTAACAACAATAAAAAAAAAAACGAAATAAAAGTGTCGATTGTATACATTCATCAATTTTTTTCAATGAAATAATCTAACTAAAAAAATAGAAAAATAAAAAAAACAAAAAAAAAATCAAATTGTCATTTCAAAGTTAGTAATAATAAGTTTTTTCTAATATCTTTTTTAAATTATCAAACAAACAAAAGCAAAATAACGAAAAAAAGAAAAATAAATTTTTAATCAATAATAATATCAAATATATCTCAAATTAAAAAAGTTAAAATATTATAAAAGCATTTATAAAAATTTAGAAAGAAAGAAAAGTAAATAAAAAGTAAAAAAATTGACAAATGGTATTCCTTTCATTTTAAGTTGACGAGATAAAAAAATTTTTAAAATATTTATTAAATATATAAAAATAAAAAAAAGCGACACTGCCTTAAAAAAAGATTTTTAAACTAAAAGAGGAAACAAAAAAGTGAATCACATAAAAAAACTTAAAATCTAAAAAACATTTACTAAATATATAAATAATAAAATAATAAAAAAAGAAGAATATAAACACGAAACATATTATTGATGTTCAATCAGTCTCACACAAATTAAAATCTAAAAAAAAAAATTTGAAAATTAAATCTAAAAAGCAAAAGAAAAACTTACATAAAATAAGTCATACCTTAAAAAAATTTAAACCCTAAAGAAATATTTATTAAATGACAAGAAATCTGAAAAAATATTAAAAAAAAATGAAAGGAAAGAGGAGAAATGAGAGAGTACCACTTGTCCACAATCATAAAAAGCCATACATGAGTAAAATTAACTATATAATTCAAAAAAAAAAAAAAGAAAAAGAAAAGAAAAGCGTGCATTGGCAATTACCAATCTTCTTAGTTTCAGTTTGTATTTATTTAGCCTACACCTTGAGACATCTTTCAGAAACCTTTGCTTGCAAGCATAGTTAAAAAGCGATTAAAATTACAAAAACAAAAATCTCTTCCCTCTTTTCTTTTTTTTTTCCTCTCTCCTTCCTTTTATTTCCCCCTTTTTTTTAAACAAGGGAGAAAAGGTGCTGGGCAGATGGTTAAGTAGGGTTCTGGGGGTTTTATGTTATGCTAAGCCTCTTCGAGTTTCATTCATTCGCACACAAGTGGGATGACATCACACAACTTCGAACTACCATATAAGTAGACTTCTATGGCATTTGTTGATTGATGAATCAAAGCCACTGAGATTCAAAAGGTTGCTTTCTGCCTTTCACCACCATCTTCATGATCAACCTGATGAAAAGCAGTTACAATAGAAATGACATCTCTTAGTGCCCATATTCTGTAAACAAGTGGTATAACATCACCAATGATAGTAAATATGCAAAACCGAACACATCTTTTAGTATCAGGGGAAGTCCAGAAAAAGGATACACTAAACGATTTACAAAACGGGGGCGGAGATATGATGTAATGAGATGCTAAAAATGTAACAAGTATCTCAAAGAAACAAAAGCTGTCAACTGAGTGTAATTGAAGTTAAAACTTAGTGGAGCCCAAGAACCATCTCAAATAATGGAATCCAATGGTAATTTGATAACTAACACCGTGAATGCCCACTAGCCATGAACCAAAATATTTACACTGCATTTGTATATGGCTGATTCCAAGAGCACCAGAAACCAAATATAAGACATCAAAGTATTGGTGCTCGCATATGTTTGCAGTTCCTTTGACAAAACCACGCTATTCAAATATTTTTTTCCCAATGCTAATAAGACAGTTCCCAAACTACATGTAGATGTACAACCACCAACTTAACAAAACCAGAGCCAAATTTTCACCTAATAGATGTATTACTGCTGAAAACTATTACACTAATAAAACATTGTTTGAATAACAGGGATGTTACATGTAAAAAATATAAGAATACCTACATGACTGCAGCAAAAAAAGTTTGATATTGATCAGGAATCTTACCTCAACATGAATCCTAGATTTCTTTTTCAACTTTGTACCAGGTTCATCTTTCTCAGACTTTTCATGGGCAGACTTAGACCATCTTCTCACTCGCTTTTCTTTAACTGCATTTACTTCTTCATCATCATCATCGTCAACTGCATTATCTGTATAAAAATTTCAACTTTATTTGAGCAGAACTGAATATGCAGAATCTATATTATTCAGGTATATGGCAGGCAAATGGGAGTGATGAGAAACCATATTTCTCAGAATAATGGAACCAGCTGAAATATGCTCACATAAAAGTAACTTCACACAATTTCGAAAGACAATAGATGACATAGGAAAAAAAGAAACAAACAGGGAGTCACATATATGCATTTGTAACCTTATGCATGCACATCGCAAGTAATATCACATCACAAAATAGTACCATGAACACAGATAAAAGTCATACCATTACTGATGTGATAATCCTTCATACCCAAATCTTCTATATCATCTTCCTCTTCAAGTTCAAAGTTGGCCTCGACATATTCAACTTCAGATTCCTGCTTATTCCAAGAAAATAAGCGGTAAGAGAAAAGGACCAAAAAAACAAAAAAGCTCAGATTATATACATCAATATGTTGCATAACAGAAACCTCTTCATTTTCATCCTCAGCCTTCAGTTCATCTGTGTCAAGAGTTTCGATGAATTTATTGAAGGGAAGGTTGTATATGCCATCATAAATTCCATTTTCAAGCCTAGCAAGCAACTCTTTCTCAATTGCCTGCAAAGGAATTAGTTAAAACCAATTTGGAGATACCATAATTCAGGACAAGCAATTAAGCAGATTATAACCTTATCCAGAACTGCAGCTTTTTCTGCCTTTTCCTCCCTTCTAGTCTCTCTCTTCTTCTCCTTTCTGGGTGTAGTCATTATCTTCTCCCTGTGGACAAATAAAAAATAATAAACATAAAAAAGGACAAAAGGAAAATCCAGCACTAACTAATCAATGCCATTAAAAATAATTTTTGGGATTAAGGCCAAATTTGCCACTATTGACTACCATGGGTCAATGTTGATTTTGGCCACCATATCAATGCCATTAACTTTTGTCACTATATTTTTCATTTTGTTGATTTTTTAACAAAAAGTTATGGAATTGATGAAAATTTACCATTTGCATTAACGGAAAATTCCAATTCCATTACTATTTTTGTCCAAGAACCAACAAAATTGAAAGTATAGTGGTAAATTTTCAATATCGAGTCATAGTTTGGTGGTAAATTTGACCTTAATCCTTTTTTTTTTAAAAAAAGGGATAACTTGCAGAATTACATACCCATTTTTTTTTTAAATGCTCACCAATAAGTCCAATGCCGAGTATATCAAACATATAAACAACACACGAGGAATGAAAATGAAGTTTATGAAGGAAACTTTTAGCAAGCACCGTTGTAAAATTCTGAAGCATAAAGTTCTTTCTGTGATTTTCATCAACTAAATTGCCACATAAACATCAAAATCAAATAAATAAAAGCGAAAGCAAAAGGGAACCTTGTTTTCAAGGCAAGTTTCCTCATGCGGATACGCATTTGGGTCATTTTTGTCAGACGCTGCTTTATTTTGTGCACAAGGAGCTTCGGCCAATACATCTTATTGACAAAAAAGAAAGAAAAAAGAAGGCAGATGCTCAACAGGAAGCATTCAGCCAAAGTTAAGGAAAAAAAAATAGGCATTAGTAAAATATGAGAAGAGATGGAATACCAGATGCTTGTCAATAACTTCAAGTGTCTTCTCATAATTTTTGGGTAATTTTACTCTTTCCCATAAATCATTGGGCTTATGAGCTCTTTCTATAGTTTTCATATATAAATAAAAGACCCCTGCACAAGACCATGACCGTAAAATCCAATAAGCCAAAATACATGCTAATCATTGGATAACAATCACTCGAATATAAACACAAAACACCCAGAACACCCAGTTGCTCTCATTTTATAGAAATCAAGTATTAACCCAATTTACAAAAACAAGATGCATCATTTGATTTTCATAACTAATGCAATATATGTTTTAATTGAATTTAACAAATGCATCCGGTGGCATTGAGTTTAACGCAGGCAAACAAACATTAACATTATAATTTTATAGCCTAAGCCAGTAATCCTCTTCTGTTTTCTCTAATTTTCTCAACAAGCAAAGTCACAGATAAAATTAAATAAAGAAGGAAGAGTAAATTGAGTTACCATCGTGGTCGCGGATAGTGGCGTAGCGACTATTAGCAAGAGGGCAGGAACTACGATTGCAGATCCCAGTAACGTTATAAGGGTTCCTACAGAAAATCCCAGTAGAGATTCTGCATAAAGGAAAAAAAATTAAAAAAGTTGATACCCGGAAGCTAATCTAAGTAAAAAAAAGAAAAGAAAAAAGTAAAGTGAATGCTTTGAAAGAGAACTATACTTGGACATGAAACTGCAATGTTTGTGCCTAATGACTTGCCATATCACCTCGTCGTGCTGCATCTCTCTTCTTTGATTTACTAACTCAGGTCAAAAAGAACGATAGCGGATATCTTGATATTCAGTTTTCAAAAATCCTCAGTTTAGAGACAGAAATTCGACGAAAAAAAAAACCTAACGAAACGAAGAAAAGTTTAGAGATTTTGGGGTTTAGGGTTTTAAGTTCTAATGTTTTATGTTAGAGGGAGGGAGTGGTATTTTTGTAATACCCGGTTTGTTTTCGCCTATAAATTTTCCTTTTATCTTAAAAAAATTTCCACCCAAAGCCAAAGGATAAATATTAATTACTAATACGTTATGAGCGCATCTAAACGCACGTCCTTTTTTTTATTCACATTTTTTGAAATAATTTTTAAATAAAATTATTCAATTATTTTTTTTCAAACTCTTTTTCACTTTTAAACTTGTGAATTTGCAAATCTTAAAGTTTTTAAAAATTTTCAGAAAATTTTAAAAGTTTTTGAATTGTTAAACCTTGTATGTTATAATTAGGGTTTTGAAAACAAATCAATTGAGGAAAAAAATCTGTATCCTAAAAAAAAGTATGATTTATTTCAAATAATTATATTTGTTTCAAATAATTATAAATTCATTTACAAATTGATAGGAACAATATATTATAGGTCTTTAGAAAATTATGTATATTCTATAAATTATAAAATTTATAAGACATGCATATTTAAAAACTTAAAATTGAAAAGAAAAAGAGTAATTAAATAATTTTAAGTAAAAATAATTAAAAAAAAATGTGGAGAGAAAAATAAAAGTATGTTTAGAAGTACCCAGTAGTTATAACTCATGTAAATTGTGCAATTAGGTCCTTATGTTTTTACTAAAAACCCCTTCAGCCCTTTTTAAGTTTTAGCAATCTTTTAAAAGTCCAAAAGGTTAAAAAAAAAAAAAAATTAATAATAGTAATGGTTAGTGTCTTGAATGATTTTTACAAATATCTAATATGAACTTCACCTTTTAAACTTATTTTTAATTCCAAAATTTGTTTTAAGCTTTCCTAAAATTTGATTTCTCATTTCCTTATTTAAATATCATATTTTACTAATTATTCTTTACTATTTTACAAATATTTCCAACAATCCGTACAGGAAATTGTCTTGGTGGCTACTTACTAACAAACCAAACTACCTTCTGGAAACTTGTAAGTGCAAAAGAACCCGAAAAGGGCAGATCTCTTCTACATATCATCAAGTTCATCTTTACAATTTATCCCAAAAAAAAAAAAGAAACAAGTTTATTTTTACATCTCTTTATTTCCAAAGGGCTCCAAATTCTTATTTAAGAAAGCTGAAGAGCATCCATTAGCAACTAATTCATATCGACCAATTTATACAAGGACCATTTATGGGTGAAATACAATAAATGTGACTCGATAGCTGTATTTATGGTGAAATTAGAGTGTAAAGGTGAGGGCATGGAAACGCAAGTATGGTTTCCTTTTCTTGTCTCCAATCTTAAAGCATCGAGACTTCTGCTGGCACAATGATGCAACAACCTCTTTCATTGTTTCTGGTCCGCACACCAAGACTCCAACATCAGATCCATCAGTTTCATTTAGGAACTTGGAGAATACATCTGATGAGATTCCATTATTTCAATGTGTTACAACTTAGAACAGGAGCTGATAAGACAAATACACCATTATAGGTTCTATAAGAACGAAGGGATTATATGAGAATACCTTCCAAATTAGGCCTTCCCCCAAAATGGACTTCATGTTCCTCAACCACACCTTTTGTTTCGATTGAACTTAGTTCCTTCGTCTTTTCTTCCTTTAAGGAGACAAGTGGTATTTCTTTCTTCAGCCTTCTCCATCTCAAAATAACTGCTACCAAGGTGCTGCATGCTAAAGATATGAAGAAAGAGGATACGATTAGTATATCAGCAACCCAAGAGGGGCTCTTTTCTTTAGGGGCCTTATTTTTGGAGGAAACCACCAATTTTAAAGAGTGAACACTTTTCTTTTCAGAGGGAAGAAATATGTGGTTGAAACAGATAAGAAAAACAAGGAACACAATAGAAGCAATTCCAGCCAATCCAGCAATCCAAAACAAGCTTTCTGGCCCATGTATTGCATAAATTGGACGTTTTGTGCCAAAGTGAACTGTTTGCACTTGAGATGTCTCGGCAAGTATTTCTGCTACTGTTACGCCAGATTGCTTTTCCTGGGTCACAAAAACTTTTAGTTTCAGATGCCATTTCTGTGAGGGTTGGTTCTCCAGTAGGGAAGAAACTGATTTTAACAGGCCAATGTCTTGGGACTTCTTGACAACGTATATCAGTTGAATTCTGGATGGGAATCTATATCTGCGGCTGCCTTGAGCTGCAGCAATTTCATGCAGTATGCTCAGAAATGGTGTTATCCCAATTCCACCGGCGACCAAGAGTAGACTGTCATATCTGCAAAGAATTTTTGTCTATGACAGTGGTAATCTAAAATTTTTTAATGAAGAGTATATCAACAGCTGAATTCTAGATTTCACCAAAAAATTCAAAACATAATTCAGGAATATAAGCGATCACTATACATTTTCTAGATATGAAAATCTCATGCTGTATGATTCTTTCGCGCACCTCAGAAAGGTCATGGTAGAAGGACCATAGGGGCCTTCTATTGCAACAGGTATGGATTTCATCTTATCAGCATCAGTGTCTAGCTCAGCCTGTATATTGTCATATAGAGAACTTGTCCACCATCCATCACATTTAACTAAAACCGACATCCTGTGATTATCATCAGTTGAACTAGAAGTTATACTGAAGGAATGCCACTGAAATTTGGATATGCTCGGTATCTTCATAAATATTATGCTTGTGGGGGTATACTTCAATCCTGAAATGAGTGCAGAAACAGCGTAAACTTTTCAAATGTTTTCACGTCCCATTTCAGTAAAAAGAAGTGACTAAGAATTTACCCGTGTCTTTTGGCAGAATAAGTTCTACAGCTTTACAGGGGTATAATCGTGCTGAAAGAATGTAAGTTTCAGGCCTTGACTGTAGGATGCGAAGTAGTTTGTCAAGGCCAAAGAGAAAAACTCCAGGGAAGATCATATAGAAGTGTCGATCTCCAGCATGAAGCAAGAAAAAAACTAGGAAGATTATGTACAGGTGGTGCATGTAATAGAAGATTTCAAATCTTTTCCTCCTTATTTGAGGAAGTGATGTGATCCACATAACCAACCCTGTAACCAAAGTAATCTCTCCAGCAAGGTATATCCGGCCTGTTCTCTGCCATTTTGTGATCTGGACAGCAAGGAGGAGGGAAGGAATGTGCAAACAAGTGTCAGATGTGGTAAAACCTAACAAGTATTAATCAGATTCATGATAAATAGAGATTGAAGAGACTACTATAACCTCATCCTGAATGTAGTGGCTGACACCCCAGAGGAATAAGGTGCTTGCACCATGAAAAGTAGCAAAACATATCATTGAAGTCCCTAGCCATATATGATATCTCACTGAAGCTTCAAACTGGATGCCAAGTATTCTAAATACAGCCAATCCCCTCAAGATCGGTAGAAGAAGCAAAGCCAAGCAGGCCTCTGCTAGCAAACCAAATCGGGTTGCCACTCTTAGATACTTGAGTTGCCATCTAAAACAAAGGTCACACTCACACATAAGTAACGGTGATATTGTTGATTCTCAGCATCTGTCATATTTTGAATTTCAGTAAGAGATTTTAAGAACTCACAAATCCAACTTCAACGATTCAACAGGTGTCAACTTCTTAAAATCCTGAGATATGCGTGTATAAAATGTCCATGCTAAGAAGAGGGTAAAGAGAAATACTGACAGAATCTCTACACTGGATAAAATGCCGATGAGACTACTTATGACTAGCGGATTTGAGAAAGCTGCGGCTGAACTCCTTATTCGTCGACTGTCACAAAAAATTAAGGAGAAAGAATGTTAAGCACAAAAAAAAAAAAAAAAAAAAAAAACTCACTTTCACAGGCCGAAATTTAATGGCATTCTTAGAACACCTGCTTCTTTGCCCCCAAGATTGCAAATTCAAGTAGACAATTCCAATTATAGCCAGAGCAATTACAGGAAATGTATACAGGGCAAAGTCAAGACCTGTAAGATATCCATTATTGGATTAATGTTTACAACATAATTTTCAGTTAATTCTTCCTGGGGAAAGAGGTGAATGGTATAATCATGTTAGAGAAAGAGATTTAAAAACAAAACTATATGGAAAAGGTGGGTTTTGCAATATCTTAATTATTTACCATAATAACCAAACACTGTATTTCGAGCACGCTCTTCTGCTCCTTTCCATTTTCTTGTCCATAAGTTCGTTGGTTTCAGCAGCCACAGAGATATCCAGGCAGTGAATATTACAATCATCAATACTTCGAGAACAACAAGAATACTGGCTTTCCCCATCTCTTTCTTCTAAAATGGTTGCAGGAAGGAGGTTTCCGAGTTGCAGTTATTATTAAAAAGGATCTCTATATAAAGAGCTCGGAGAAAAGATGCGGCACCACTAGGTGATAAAAAGATTTTACTTAGCCCCACTGGCTTTAAGGAGTGCCCACCACTTGCAGAGTCACTTCCTTGTGGTTGGCAATGAAATAAGGAGTCTTCTGCATTATCTAAACTGTTTGATATTCTAATTCTTCATTATTTACCTTCCATGATAAGAATTAAGAAGTTGACATTTTTCTTTGAGGAGATGAAAGTGGCCACAAAAAATCTTATTGCATATGACATAGTCTACCAAAGATGGTTTTCATTTTCAGATTATTGTAAGAAATCGTATACTGGCTGATTGGCATTTATAGGTTAGATTTCCTATCAGCCTGATGAATTATTTTACATAGTGGATATATGGTCCATCTTGTTTCCTTTTCTTTTTCTCTTTCCTTCTTTTTCATCCTACGGTCACTCCTTTCAAGAAGATTGAATTGCAACTCACCACACAGCAACAATCTTAAAATGAATGTGGTTTAAGTTTCAGTATTTTGTGATCTCTTTTTTCATGGTATTCAATCATAGTCATCAGATGCTAACAGATCTGTTCATATATTTTCGTTTAAAAAAAAGATCTGTCCATATGGCTTTGGGATTAAATTCGTTTTCTCCTTTAGCATTTCACTCTTAATCATATTCCTATCCAGTTTCCTCCACAAAGCAAGTGATCCGTTAATTGGACAAGCCATGTGGGGCAACCTGGAATTCAATCCACCGAAAGTGGCTACAACTAGTGTTTTCTCTCCCTGACTTGATGAGATTTGTTCCAATTATAATTTTGTTTTGCAATGCAAGAGGGATAAATCAAAACTAGAAAAGAAAATGAAGGTCTAATTGCCCTTCTAGAAAGCAAAATAACAAAAAATACGGGATGATTAGATGAAGTCTAGACCTACCTTACCTTGCAAGGTGTGGCCTTCCAAAAACTACTAAGCTCTGACTAGAAGCGACTAGATTCAGATTTGATGATAGAAAAATAAGTGAAAATATCAAGGAGAGGCTGCATCGTGGTCCTTGAAAGAATTACTATACTCTATGGTGTACCTTTTGAATGCACTTAATATTCTTAGCTACAAGGGAAATAAAACCAGAGAGTGAGATACGGGTGGTTGGCTAAGGAAACCGGTGTTCATTTTTTTTAAAGTTCGCTTTAAGGACAGATGATTTCAATATGAGACCTCTATGTTTAGGGTAAGGTATACGACTACATTAGGCTTTGCCTAGGGCAGGTCAGTATAAAAGTACCTTAAAATCAAGACAAAGATGTTCATCAAAATCCTTTGATTGTAATGCCTACGGTTTAGAATGCTATTTAACGATGATAATTATCCTTGTTTCTAGACTACACGTGTCTGAGAAGAAGTTCAACGTCTGTGTAAACAGATGTTATGGTGTACCACGTTATGGTGTACCAAATTCTATCTAATCAAATAACTTAGTGACATTCATTTGGGATAACAGGACCCAGGGCTACAGTTTAGCCAATTAGATTGTATATGTTGCTATGACATCCCCAAATGATTATTCTCATTGGAAATTTGTGAAGAGCACTATTTTCTTTTGCTTTCTCAATCAAAGTGAACCCTTTGTTTAAGCATAAGTCTAGTAACTAATGGCATTAGTGATTCTTGATGCAGGTTTACAAGGAAAGCATTAGACAAGAACTGAAGAACATGATAGTTGATAAAATAAAACAATTTGGCAATCTAATGAGAAACAGTTCTGTCTAATCAAATCAAGTATAAACTGAATCAAGAGTTATTTTTGGAATTGACCCACAAATTGTGAAGTGATGAAGTGTCAGGTTCTCATCACAAAGAAAAAGAAAAAAAAAAGATAATTTCTGGTCTGGCATTTGACTTGTGAGAGGGGAAGAGAATACATTTTTCAAGCAACTCCTGTTTTCCTGTATGCACGCTGTTGATCCAAAATTTTTGTCTGCTGAATTCTCTCTTGACTTTGGTTATTTGGTAATGAACAATCCTTGTATCCAAACTGGGGTTAACTGGATTATCCCACAAATGGTAGTGGTAAGTTTTGGTTAAATTAGTTATCATTTTCACCATTATGTAAAACCTAGTGGAAATGGAAGTGGAAATTTATCTTAACAAGAACAGTTGTGGTCAAACTTGTTCACAATGAAATTACAATTTCCGTGAAAATTTGAGGTTTATTTGTGTCATGAATTTAACTGTTGCGCACAATGCCAAGACAATGATGGGAGCTGATTCACCAGGGAATGAGACATATGAGGGAGCTGATCACAAAAATGGTACAGGGAAGCTTAATGGAAGAGATTCTAGAAGAAAGGACAGGTAGATAGCTGGCAGACTGTTGAGAATATTGCTCTTTTACTATTGGTCCCTAGTATTTATCAATTTCTTCTCTTTCTAAAATTCAACCTCCTTGTTCTCTATTTTCTCTCTGTTCATTCACTCTCTCTTATTCTCATCCTTTATCATCTCTGTTCTTCTTATTCCCTCTTATTCTCAACCTTTATGGCTTTATCAATTAAAACTGTGACAATTTGGTGAAGGGAAAAGGGGTAGAAACAATATTCAAGACCTTGCATAGCAATGCGATCCTCTTTGAATAGGACTCTGACCACTCAGTTTGGAAAACATATATAACAATGCAATCATTTCTTTTATCATCCCTTTTGCTTTCCGTGATTGAAAGTTAAGGTCCCATTTCTGTTGTTGAAGCAGTGATTTAACACCGAATAAATTAATAGTAAGAAAAAAGCAGTAATAGGGGCATTCAAGACCCTGGCTTGGCTTCAGATTTGATGAGGATAATAGACATTAAAGATGCTACCTCCCTGGCCCAAATACAAGGTCAAAGGTCTAAAAACTAGACAGACGGAGGAGAAGAAAAGGAAGTAGCAGCAGTAGTTTTCTCTTCTCTTTAAAAAGGCATTTAAAAAAAGAAAAATGAAAAAAGACAGGTCCATTTTTTGGTTGTGAGTTGTGACATATATGCATAGCCAAATCAAATTCGGCTGCAAACATCCCTGACAAAAGAGAATCTGTCCTTTTTTCCCCTTTTTCTTTTGTGGCATTGAGAGCAACGACAATATATATAATCTTATAAAATTTTCCAAACCGCTACCATCAAAATCTTGTTATCTTCGCTCTCTTCCACCCTCCTCAGCCTTTTTGTTCTTTATATCTTTTTTTGTAAGAGCTTAGAGACTAGAGTTTAGAAAGATGGAAGAAGAAAACTATGTACCGGCAGACTCTATGCAATATCATACAGCACGGATGATGATGTCTCCGGAAATCGTAGAGATCGGAGAAGAGAGCAAGAGCTTTGCAGGAAGCAAAGATGGAAGTGCCAGCGATGTTTATGTTGCCGTTGGCAAAGATGACTTGGGTGTTTTGAAATGGGCACTTGACCATGCTGTGTCTCCTGGAGCTCGGGTTTTTCTTGTTCATGTTTTTGCTCCCATAACTTTTGTACGTACCCCAGGTAATAAACGCAAATATCTTTCTTTCTTGATTTCCTGATGAGCTTTTTTATGTTCTTAACTAAATAAACAAGCCTGATCCTTTGCTAGTACTTTTCTGCACTGCTAAGATTTTTATTTAAGTCTACTTTTTCTGCATGTTGGAAATGTTTGTTGATAGTTGGGAAGTTATCAAAGAACCAATTGAGCCAAGAACAGCTGAGAGTTTATGTTAATGAAGAGAAAAACAGGAGAAGCAACCACTTGCAAAAATACATTCGCCTGTGCGTTGACTCCAAGGTGGAACATCGACTACTTTCATGTTCCCAGTTGCCAATCAAATTCAGCCCATAAATCTTGCTCCAAAAGAATTTAACTGATAATATATTTCTATCTCCATGCGGCAGGTGATAGTGGACACGATGCTGATTGAAAGCGATTCCACGTCCAAAGCAATTCTTGAACTCATTCCTGTTCTCAACATTACCACCCTTGTCATCGGAACAAAACATCCACCTAGCTCAAGGTTCGAATCGTTTACCCATTTCAATACATCATTGAATATTGTTTCATAAAACTACTGGAAGCACCAATTAATTAAGAAGCCTAAACACTTTAAGCTTAATTAGCACCCCTGGTGTTGGGGCTACTGCTAAACCATATTGATTGCTAGCTGTAATTTCTGTTGTCAAAGGCTTATGGAATGAGATGTTGATGATGTTCTTCAGGCAGACAAGGTGGAAACAGGGGATAGGAGAATTGATCAAGAAGGATGCTCCGGACTATTGTGAGGTTACCATTGTTCATGGTGACAAGAAGGTTCAAGATTGTCAACAGGAATCGGAGCTAGTCCATCCATCCCAAGAATACAGTCCCCCGAGAACAGGAGTCAACTCTGAAAGGAATTTCTTCCAGTGTGTATGCTTTACAAGCAAGTCCAATTGAGCCTGTTTGCGTTCCTCCGCATCAATGTGATAATCTAGCAGAAATTATATTCTCTCATTTTACTATTTTATAAGCTTCAACGATAAAAGTACTGCTTAATTGATATACTCTTGATGCTGAATGTAAATTGGAATACCCCGCTAATAATAAAGAGATTAAGGCCTAGACAAGGTTTTAACATGTCTGAAAGAAATCAAGAATTACAATATGAAAATGCTTCAATTGGCATTGCAAAACTGGCAATGCACCCTATTAGTTGCCAGTCCTATTGTCATACAGCCCTTGCCTACCTTCAGCTTTTTCCTGTGTTGAAACAGACAAGTAATTCGTAAATTGTAATGAATCATAAACACTACCAAGAAGGTTTTTTCTCGCATTATAGATGAGAGTATATTTGTTTTAAACATTTCTGTATCTCTCAAACCCAGCGTGTGAGACCGGAGTTAGGGACTTGTATAATTTGAAGAGCTTAAATAAAATGGGGTTCACCTCTTCCATTCCACGTGAAAGTGAAAACCAAGTGGCTTAGGAATGGAAGGTCACCAACTCCCAATTCCAAATGATGTCAAAGAGATGGCGGCGTGTGGGCAAAACATTAACATAACGCACTACCTCAATCAAATTGGAGTATTTTTTTTTTTTTCAGGCCACGTTTAACCAAATTGCACAGAAAAGCAATATGAAATGAGAAGTGATTAAATGTTCACACTTGAATGCGTACAGCATAGTAGCTAAAATTTTGTAGATAAGCAAACAATTAATTAGAGCTTAGAAGGGGGTTAATAGGAAGAAAGAACATGGACATCAAACTTCTATATGATTCTTTCTGAGGAGGAGATGGACCAATTCTATCTCTCTTTAATTCTTCAGCAAGCAGCAATAATTGAGAAAAAAAATGCTTCAGTTTGTAATTTTCACTCACTCTCCAAGCATTAGCAACCTCTACGCTATGTACTCCTTACCTTTTTATTCTACCCAAAATATAGTAACCAATCCATTACCATTCATGCCTTTTTTTTTTTTTATATATTTTATATTTGAATTAATGACTACTTCTATTAAAAGAAAAAAAAACTTGTACTATATCTAACCATATATGTTTGCTCATTTTGCTTAAGTAAACAATTTGAAAACCAAGCAAAAAGGCCGCACTATCACAAGGAAAGAGATCTCCGCCATGAAGCAGCGAATTAACCCTTAATCCTAAATATTAACTCCATAAATATATATACATATATATATATATATATATAAACAAAAAGGTTAAATTCTGAATTTAATACTTATTATCATGTGAAAATATTGGATTTAATCCCTCTATTATTATTATTATTATTATTATTATTATTGAATTTTGTACTTTCAAAATTTGCTAATCCTGATCTAATTGTTCACACTGTTAATAATTTTTTTCTTGAAATATTTTTACATGACATTAATCATATTTGTTAAAATCGGAGAAAAAAATGGTAGGGGCAGGGTATATATGCATTATACATAATTGAGCCGAAGTTGATTTGCAAGAGGTAGACAATTAATAATTAACCTTGTTATGTAAATGAATTTAGTTTAAGACTCAAATTTTCATGCACCCGTTTAGGGTTTAATCGAATCAAATCAAACTAGTATATTGGAGTGCTCAAGTTCGAGCTCGATTTAAAAATCAAAACTTAAAATTCGATTCGAATTCACTCAAATTTTATTTTTCAAATTCAAGCTCGAATTCACTTGGTTTGAATTATAATAAAAAATTTGTAAATTTATTTATTTATACAAAACAAAAATCAAAATAATAAAACAAAATTTATAAAATCTTATGTGAATCATTCCAAATATATGAAAAAAACATAAAATTTCAAAACAATAAAAATAATTTAAATAAAAAAAATTAAAAGAAGAAAAATCAAATCACATGTTATCATTTTAAATAACCATCTACTCGCAAGATGATATCCACAATTTAACAATTTTATTAGCACATTTTGTCACAAAAATAGATTCAAATACTATAAATGGAAAAAAAAAATCTACAAATACCCAGAAAAAAGGTTAAAAAAGCTAAAAAAAAAATAGCAAAGAGTAGAGATATTGAAAAATGTTAAGCATCTAATTCACTATCAATTAGCAATAAGTAGAGAAGTCTAGCTTAAATACAAAACTACAAGATATTTAATATTCATTAGATATGGGGTAACTCACTTTAATAAGACTTCATCACATGTAGATAAAGATAAAAAAAACTTTTAATGTGACAAATTAAGAAAAGGTAACGAAAATAGAGTCTCGACTCTATACTATTTTAAGCATCAAATTTATTATCAATTGATAGTAAATAGAATAGCTTAATATAAATATAAGACTATAAAATATTAGATATTTATTCGATGTAAAAAAATTATTTTAACAGAGAATATGATTGTTTCTGTCGATATGAGATTTTGATTTAGCACATACGATTGATTTGTGTCTTCACTTCTTGCAAGTTATCACTAACTTTTTGAGCATAGTTTGTGATAGGCCTTTCCATTTGGAGAGGGGTGGCGAGTGAAGGAGATAGCACTGTTTTGGAGGGAGGGGGAGAGTGTGAGAGTGAAAGAGAAAAAGAATAGATATAGGACTTCAGTTTTAGGTTTTTATATTTTAAGAGTAAAATTGTAATTAAATTAATAAAATATATATTAAAATAAAAAATTTTGAATAAGTTTGTGAGCACTTGAATCAAATATTAAAATATTTAAATTTAATTCGTTCGATAAAATTAAACTATTTAAATTTAAATTCAATTCGATAATAAATAAGTTATTATTTTTTTTTTCAAATCAAATTCAAACAATTTATAAATTTAAATATACTCCTACGCCGGTGTCCACAAAACAAAATTAAAAAAAATACATGTCTCACCTCTTTTTTAACATGACAACAAAACTCGACTTGTAAAAACTGAGCAAATTGAGGTAAGCGGATGTGACCAAAATCAGCTGAGCTGCTCAGTTAGTGGGTTGGGCTAAAACTAAAAACTGAAAAGTGAATGTCAACCAAACTGGACCACTGCCAGACCACGAATTCCCAAATCTAAACCCAATACTATGTATAAATTCTAATTTTTTTCCATCCCAGCAATCAACATGGAAGCATTGACATGGCCCAGTCCCAGGCCCTATATTTCCATCCCTATTCAACAATTCCAATTGCTCCCATCTCTCCGAAACCAGTATTACCGATTTCAGAATAAAGACGTTGCCTTTTTTGCCTTTGAAATCTCTTTTTCTTGAAGCTTTGTTTCCGCCCCCATGACTCCTTACGACCGAAGATACGGCGACCCCCAATCTTACCGTCAGCGTAGCAGGTACTTCCTCCCGTCACTCAGATCAATCCCTTCCGCAAAGATTTATTATTTTATTAAATTTTTGTTTTATGATTTGATGATTGAAAATTTTGCCTTTTTTTCTTAAAATATTATTTGCAGTGATTTTATCGGCCAACCACCTCCGGTAGGCCCACCACCTATGGGTCCGGGAATGGTCCTATCTGCTGGTGCTACCTCTTATCCCCGTGGTGGACACATTTCTTACGGTGGCCCTCCAACGGTGCAGCCGCCGACTTTTCAGGGAAGAGTGCCCGTAGCCATCCCAGATCAAGGGAATTTCGATACGTACTCGAGCATCCAACCACCTGCAGGAAGATTCGAGATGGGCCGCGGTGGGGGTATAGGTAATGCTCATGTTGGAGACAGGAGAAGTAATGGGGCAAGAGGTCGTGAAGCTGCTCGTGGTGTTGGCGGCAGAGGTGGTGGTGGTCGTGGTGGCCGTGGTGATGGCGGGAGGGGTTATGGAGGGAGGCAAGGAGGGTGGTCTAGAGGAGATTTAGATCATGTTTCGCTTTCGAGGCAAAATTTTGGAAATTTGGTTCCTTTTGAGAAGAACTTTTATATGGAGAGTGCTGCAGTTAGAGGAATGACAGAGCAAGAAGCTATGGTTTACCGTAGAACACGGGAAATTACAGTTCAAGGACATGATGTTCCAAAACCGATAAGGATGTTCCATGAAGCCAATTTCCCTGGTATTTCTATTTTGGTTGGTTTTCAATTTTTTTTAAAGCCTAAATTTGAGTTAATATGATTTTATGTGATTTTTTTTTGTGTGTTAGATTACTGCCTTGAGGTGATTGCTAAATTGGGTTTTGTTGAGCCTACGCCAATCCAGGCTCAAGGGTGGCCTATGGCTTTAAAGGGTAGGGATCTAATTGGTATTGCTGAGACTGGTTCTGGTAAAACGCTGGCATATTTACTGCCAGCATTGGTGCATATTAATGCGCAGCCACGATTAGGTTAGTACCATTAATCAGTTTCTTTTGGGTTGTTGCGGACTTGCAGTGTTCATTTATTTGAATACAGTCACTCATTTTTTGTTTCTATGATTGAGTAGTGTATGGTGAGGGTCCTATTGTATTAATATTAGCACCTACAAGAGAGTTGGCTGTTCAAATTCAAGAAGAAGCTGCAAAGTTTGCAACTCGTGCTAATATTAGAAGTACTTGTATCTATGGTGGTGCCCCCAAAGGACCACAAATTCGGGATCTTAAAAGAGGTATTCCTTGTTGTCTCTGTGAAATGTGAATACCTTTATGGCACTTGGGTTACACCTGTATTGAATTTAAGGTTTTCCTATGCTAGGTGTTGAGATTGTAATTGCTACACCTGGTCGACTGATAGATATGCTAGAAGCTCAACACACAAACTTGCAAAGAGTGACTTACCTTGTTCTGGATGAGGCTGATCGAATGTTGGATATGGGGTTTGAGCCTCAAATAAGAAAAATTGTTGCTCAGGTAGCTTTATTTGTCACTAAGTTGTCTTCTTTTGGATTATTGTCTGTTGCCCATTTGTACATCATTTCTTTTAAGTTTGAAGCTATAACTTTATTCTGGATTTAGCAATGTAGAAATTAGCAAAGTTTTGTTTATTGCTACATGATCTTTGTATATTGGAGAAAAAATACAAATAAGCATTGAAGTCTGAAAATATGTTAGAGACTGCATAGTTCAGCAATATAGATGTAGAAAAGGTAGATTAAACCTATGAAGCAAAGACATTACTTAACAACAACAACAACAAAAAAATAAGCCTTATATCTCATAACTTTGGGGTCGGCTATATGAAAGGCCAAAAAAAGGAATCATGTTGGGTAGTAGTTTTGAATCTTCTTGTGCCATTCATTTCTATCAAAAACAACGTTTTCATCTACTTTTTAACCCTCATTTCATTTCCTATTATTTGCATCTACATTTTTCGTGGTCTACCTCTAGAAGTTTTGGTCTCTCCCAAATCCAGAAGCTCATTTCTCTTAATTGGTGCACAGATAGGCTTACGTTTCAAATGTTCAAACCATTTCAAATGGCCTTCTCTTATCTTTTCCTCAATTTGGACTACCCCTAAATTTTCTTGAATTGAGACATTGCTCACATAATAATGGCAATGTTGTTAGCCACATTTTCATGCGTTAATGTTTCCATTGTTCAGTTCAGAACAAAGGTGTATATTTTAAATTAATTGTGATTCTCGATGTTTAGACTTTAGACCAAATGGCATCTTTTGTTTCTAAGGTTGTTGCATTTTAGTCAATTTCATCTCGTCATCTTGTTTTATCAGACTGCTAATCTCATTTTGTAATGTTTGGCATTACAATCCTGTCAAAAGAAAATGGTTTGGATCTTTATATGACAATTTTGGTTTTATTCGTAATCAGATTCGGCCTGATAGACAAACGTTGTATTGGAGTGCAACATGGCCAAGGGAGGTTGAATCTTTAGCGAGGCAGTTTTTACGCAACTCATATAAGGTTTTGTAATGAAGTTGTTGTGGCTTCATTGTTTACACACGTTTTTTATGCTTCTCTCTTGCTTTTATTTTTATTTTTATTTTTTTTGGAGGTGCCTAGATGATTAGTCAGGGTTACCAAAATTCCTATGATGTTTAGGTTATCATTGGATCACCTGATCTGAAAGCAAACCAGTCTATTAACCAAGTTGTTGAAGTCATAACAGAGCTGGAAAAGTACAACAGGTTTGTTTCTGCAACTTGTTTGGGGGGAAAGTTTTATTTGGTATTGTGATATTAAATATTGACCTCTCTTTGGTATTGTGATATTAAATATTTGACCTCTCTATGCGCAGGCTAATCAAATTGCTGAAGGAAGAGATGGATGGGAATCGAATACTCATATTCATGGAGACAAAGAAGGGATGTGACCAAGTTACTAGGCAGCTGAGAATGGATGGATGGCCTGCCCTGTCTATCCATGGTGATAAAAACCAGACTGAAAGGGATTGGGTCCTGGCTGAATTTAAGAGTGGCAGAAGTCCTATAATGACTGCCACTGATGTGGCTGCACGAGGTCTTGGTAGGATCACTGTGTGTTAGGAGTCTTAGTATATTCATTTAGGTCTTGAATCGTGAAGATAAGCGAGTCTGCCGGCTGCTTTCCAGTTTCCTGATGGCTTGGGTGCAAAGGAGGTGTCATGATGTGCATTACAAATCTGTGAACATATATTTTCTAACTGATAAGCATGATCCTCCACTTCAAGGGAATTATGAGTTGGATTGAGAGGCATACTGGTTTCTCATATTCACTAGATGTCCCCTAAGATAATTGGCTACTATCTTATGCTTACAGCTCATGTTACAGGGACACAAGGAGCATAGTTTGCTTAGACAGCTAAGGTGGTGATCTATAATTTGGAGGGTTGTACCATGCAAAACTCATGCTTCTCTGTTCCTTTGTTTGAAAAGTTAGTTTTATTTATTTTAGGTTGGGGGAAAAGAAAAATTAGAAAGCTCTCTTATGTGTAGTTGTATTTACCTGCTTGAATTGCCTGAATTGGCATGGCCCCTTTAGTCAAGTGTCTAAGTAACATGGTTGAACTTGAAGTTAGTTTTGCCCATCCACAGTTATGGAGCTGGTTTATTGTGGTGGCCTGGTTGACTCACATTTGCTTAGATTCCTTGATTGGATTCGGAAATGGTGGTGGTAAAGCAGCTCCTTATCCCTGCAAGGTTAAGGTGGGCACATTTATCTGATGAATGTGTTGTCTTAATATTGATCATTTGGATCTTAGGATGCAGGGATAAGGGAGTTTTTGAAATTTTTTAGGGTTCTTAACGTACTGAGTTTCTTAGCAAAAGAATGTTGCATGCAATTTAAAGGTTTTTAGTAACCTTCAATATTCATTTAATCTAGAGTTAAGACAATGTCAAACCGAGTAGCTGGCTCTTCATTTTTGGCCTGTCTATATAGCAAATTATTTCAAGTAAACCTGCTTACATGGCCAGCTTGCAAAAGTCACTTGGCTTTTATTAGAGCCCTAAATTTATCACAGCTTTATCTTTGTCTTAATAACTAAGCACACCTTTTGTTCTAATTTTCCTTTGTTTGCTGTAGATGTGAAGGACATAAAGTGTGTGATCAACTATGATTTTCCTTCCAGCCTGGAGGATTATGTACATAGGATTGGTAGAACTGGTCGTGCAGGGGCTAAGGGAACTGCTTTTTCCTTCTTCACACAGGCAAATGCAAAGTATGCTAGGGACCTTATCAAGCTCCTGCAAGACGCAGGGCAGCTTGTCTCTCCTGCATTATCTACATTGGCACGCTCTTCCAGTTTTGGAGGTAATACTTTGTGTTTAAACACCTGCTGGCAAAAGTAAATGAATGTGTGAATAAGAGTTTCTGGGTATATTCTTGGATGATCTGGACTGCTCCTTTGGTTTTTAGGTTCAGGGGGAAACTTCCGCTCCAGGGGACGTGGAGGTTATGGTAACCGCTCTTTGATATCAGGATCTAATACTGTGCCCCTTGGTGTAAAGAGGCCTTGGTAGTTAGGAGTTTGTTTTTATTGAAGGAACTTATCTCGGTGTTGTGATTTAGGATGTTTCAGGATTCAGATTGTTTTTCGATTTTATTTCACTTTATATACATGTATAATAGCAGGGTACATTGTTGAGCTTTAAAAATCAGTATATTACAGATTCATATGGAAGCGAATGAAAAAAATTTTAGTCTGGCATATTAATTGTAGCGTTCTCACTAGGGCTGTGCAGATACCAACAGGATCATTTGGAGAATACAATTGCATCTGAACTTGCAAAATATGTGCTCTTTTTTTAGCAGGATGCTCGTCATTAATAAATCATTATCATAGCTTCATAGGTGTTTTGACAATCCATCCTTTCCCTCTTAGCTGTGCTGCCTGATTCTGAATATAATATTTTATATTACAATTTTTTTCTATAAAATTAATGTTTCATGAAGTTTAATGTCAAAAAGTAAATAAATAAATTATATATATATATAATAATTGAAAGTCTTTTTATTTTTTTAATGTTATTATCGGTAGTACCTAAATTTTCAGTTTCGATTTGGCATGTACTTGTTTACTGATTTCGTTTCTATTGTTATTATTCAGCATAACGTTCGTTAGAAATGAAATGGAGTTGTCTTTTTCCTTTGTTATACTACGCATTGCATTTGGCTGGCTGGTGGGATTATTTTGTTTTTGTTGATTTGTTTCATTTCTGATGGGAAGTTGTGTCATGTGTGAGGTAGTTATGATTTATTTTGAAAGGCTAATACTATCTGTTTAATCTGTTCTTATATCCATGTCTTGGTGGAAAATGATGTGGAATTGGTCTAACAATAGTATTGATAGTTTATGTTTTTTGTTGATTTGGGCGTCTGAATTTTTGTGTTTTATAAGTTGGGATATTTAATGTCCTTATATTTTGGCGCATTAGCTCATTTTCACTGCAAGATTGTTTATTATGTCAGATATGATACGCTGATGCTGATACAGTTAGAACTTGAACAATTATTTAGGACCAAGAGTGCGGCTATTTTTTCATAGGAATGATAGAAAACATAAATGAATTCTCAATGACAACCCCTGTGGCTAAATATTGGACGCAACTTGATAATTGTTTCCAGATTTAGTTCCATGGTCTAGAATTACTTCTGTTGACTGTTTCAAGCATTTGCTTTTCCTTGTGACTTCAGATAGGTGTTGTTGTACTTTGTGTAATACCCGAAAAAAAAAAAGAGATTATTTTAAGTATTTTTATAAGTGGGAGATTCTTTAATAAAGAATGAGAAGTGCAGAAGATTTATTGATAAATAACTCAAATTTTTTTATTAATAGAGTTAACTTTTCAGTTTTCAGTCGACGATTAGTCGTAATAAAAACAGAAACTTATTTCTCATATGTTTCTTATACATAAAAGATCAATTGAAGGATTTCAAGTGAAGGGAAGAACAAATCTATAAGGAGAAATTATCTGTTAGAGGTGAGTAAATAATCTTTTTTAATTTTTGGAGTATTGATGGTTAAGTCTTAAGGTGTAAATTATAATCGAGAAACCCTAAAATTTTAGGGTTTTCATTATCCCTCTTTGGGCAGATGATTTAGACTTTAATTAGAGTCAAGTTAAGTGTTGAGAAAGTTGGTAATGTGAATTTATTGTTGAAACAGAAATTTGATGGGAATAAAAAGGAAAATCTTTGTTTCGTATAAATCCTGATATGAATCATGTGCTTGTAGTGATGAATTAAGGTTATATTCTGTATTAAAAGGTTAAATACTACTATGATTGCTATATATGGTTGGAAAGCATGTTGAATCTACTTTCTAATGAAACAAACAGGAGTCGAATTCGAGTTCCCTATGAAGAGTTATCCAATTTTTACCTAAGGAGGTGCAGGCTGCCTAGTAGCAGCAGTAAGGGGAATTACGAAATTTTCCTAAATTTTTATACAAGGATTTACAGTTTAAGCCATAAATGTTTGGAAAGCTTATCGAGTCTATTTTTCAATGAAATAAGCGAAATTGAATTTGGAGTTACCTATGAATAAATACGTATTTTTTATGAAAAGATATACAGGCTGTCTAGCAGCAGCATATGACGTGGATTTCAAAAATTGTTATAATTAATCCACAAAGAATCACGAGATGAGCCATAAATGGTTAGAAAGCTTGTCAAGTCTAGTTTCTAACGCATTAATAAGATTTTAATTCCGAATTGGATATCTTGAGTTATGGTCATTTTAGTGAAAGTAGCGCAGACTGCCAGAATTAATTACTCGAGTTATTACTTGTTTAACTTAATTGTTTTGGTATAAGTGGCCTCAAATGGGTTGATTAATTATTGTTATGTTAGAATTATCTTGAATAGGCCACTAAATTTTGAGGGAGAAAAATTAGGTGGTGGAATCAGAAGAAGGTAAGTAGAATCTCACACACTTTGCTTATTTTCGAATCTATATATATATGTGTTTCTAAGAGAAAGAATGTTTTTATTTCTTTATTTTTGATGTATGAAAATAGGATCAAGCATATGATTATTTTGTGTTTCTCTATATAAATGATGGATCATGCTTATGAATGAAATGAGAAAATGATTTATGTTTAAAGAATGATTTTATGATAGCTACGTTTTTATATCCCTGGGAAGTGGGATCATCGACACCAGAACTTAGTTCTACGACCCTGGCTAACGGGTAATAGTAGTTAGCAAAGACATGATCATACGACCCTGGCTAATGGGTAATAGTAATTAGCGTAAGCCCTAGCTAACAGGTTATAATAGTTAGCAATGATCATGAGAATGAAATTGTCGATACGACTAATGTCACGGGTTATAGCAGTGACCGTAGCTAACGATTTGAATGATAACATATTTTACAATGATTTATGAATTTATGAAATGTTTGACAGAATGATGATATTGAGATGTTTTGACATTATGATTTGACGAATGTTTTGAATGATCTATATGATGTGTGAGAAAACGATGCTTGATCTGGTAAGGTGTGTGGGCCTTTACTTACTGAGCTGTGGTTTGCTCATTCCCTATTTTCTTTTCTTTTACAGATGTTATGAATGATAAGTATGATTAGCTTGAGAAAAGCTAAAAGAATCGAGCATTGGAGAACTACTTAGAAATATAAGATTTTATGAAGTATTGTTTATTTTAGTTGTAATACTCTACTTTGAACCTTTGGAGACTTGTTATCTAGCTATGTTACTTAATGAGAACATTTTATATTTGAGAGTTGTTCAATGGTTATGGATTAGGCTTCGTATTGCTTTGGAGTTTTACTTCAAGGTAATATGGTCGTGTTATGCCTCGATTCGGGGCATGACAAAATTGGTATCAGAGCAAAGGTTTAAGATCCAGGAAAAAAAAGAATTGAGTTATAGATAGTGTAGAACTTAAGTATTCTTAGCATTTACATTGATAAGATTCGATTATTTTATTTTGATGCTAGAATTTGATGTGATCTTAGAAATGAATTGGTTATCTATACATCATGCAGTTATTGATTGTTACAAGAAGAGAGTAGTGTTTCAGTGTCCAGGACAATCAAAACTTGTATATGAAGGTCATCATTTAAGCCTTCTGTGTCAGATTATGTCGATTTCAAGTGCCATGCAATCTCTAAAGAAAGGGTGTTTATGCTACCTCGCCTATGTGAAAGACACTCAAATGAATGTAGGCTCACGATTAGAAGATATTTCGATTGTTAGAGATTTTTTTTGATGTTTTTCCTGAGGACTTGCCTGGCTTACCTCCTAATTGGGAAATTGAATTTGAAATCGATCTTATCTCTGGAACTGGACCAATATCTAAGCCTCCTTATCGTATGGCTCCATCTGAGTTACGTGAATTAAAGGTGCAACTCCAAGAACTATTAGAGAAAAAGTTTATTCGTCCTAGTTTGTCACCTTGGGGAGCTCCTGTATTGTTTGTTAAAAAGAAAGATGGGAGTCTGCGCTTATGCATTGATTATAAGGAGTTAAATAAAGTGACTATGAAGAACAAATATCCTCTTCCTCGAATTGATGACTTGTTTGATCAATTACAAGGAGCAAAGGTCTTTTCAAAGATTGATTTACGGTCTGGATATCATCAGTTGAAGATTAAGGTAGGTGATGTATCCAAAATTGCTTTTCGAACTAGGTATGGCCATTATGAATTTTTGGTTATGCCTTTTGGATTAACAAATGCACCTGCTGCATTCATGGACTTGATGAATAGAATTTTTAAACAGTATCTGGATCAATTTATTGTTGTTTTTATTGATGACATCCTGGTTTATTCTAAGAGTGATGAGGAACATGAGAAGCATTTGAGGATTGTATTACAGATCTTGCGGGATAAACAACTCTTTGTAAAGTTTAGCAAATGTGAATTTTGGTTGACAAGTATTAGTTTTCTTGGTCATGTTATTTCTGAAGATGGGATTTCAGTTAATTTGAAAAAGATTGAGGCAGTGGTGAATTGGCCTCGCCCAATAAATGTGACAGAAGTAAGAAGTTTTATAGACTTGACAGGTTATTATAGAAGATTTGTTGAGGGGTTTTCTCAAATTGCTGTGCCATTGACTCGTTTAACTCAAAACGAGTAAAATTTGAATGGACTAAGGAATGTGAACAGAGTTTTCAAGAGCTAAAGCAACGATTGGTGTCAGCACCTATCCTTACCTTAC